GCTATAAATCACAGTGTTTCAAACACTTTACTTACGGTGCCTACTGTTCGTTTGACTCAATTATCTATATCTTCAATCTATCTGCATATCTATTTATCGTTGGCTTTATTTGCCAGCTTATATACTAAAAAAAGAGGGCACCTGACAAACAATCGGACATTCGCGAGGTTCCTCCATAAGTCATGATCCTTCTAGAAACTTCAGCGTGCATGCTCCCAGCGTCGCATGACTTCCGCTGTTGTAACAGTACTTCGGTTGATTGGTCTGCAAGGCTGTTGGAAGTGTCGTTGTTGGCTGTATTCTATCAAAGTAATTGAGAATAATTTGACTAGCCTTATCGCAAAAGTTCTATTTAATAGGGTGATATAGTTAATATCTTTAACAGTAACGTCTGATGGTACTCCCTCTGATAACAAAGGTTGGATGTAAAAATTGGAATCTCCAAAAATACAATAATCAGCAAATTTCATCATTGAAACTGGTTTACTTGTTCACTTTACTGCAGATGCTTATCATATGTTGAAACTAAACAAGAATGTTTTTGCAGATGTGGATGTATATGATGCAGAGAAGGAGCTTATCAAATGGATAATTACAATTACTATTGTAAATAGTTTCAACCAGACATATATTAAATATCTGTAGCACAAAATGTTTGAACCACTACTCAAACACCGAGCAGTTCAATTGCTAATACAATGGAATTTATCATAAATTCAAACTTCCAGAAATACTTCTACCAAATACAAGTCCTTAGAACCAATGACTGTTTATTTAATTTAAATTCATAAATTCCAAGGCTAAAGGATTAAATATAGCCAATATCACTTGGAAAGTTCAACCAACTACCTTTTACTACTGAAGGAAATGATGTTCCATAACACAGGCATATGATAAAGATTTATTATTGTTGCTAAAAGTGATTAGGATTGTTTGTTCGTTTTTGAATTTTTCGCAAAGCTACACTAGGGCTATCTGCACTGCCATTCCTAATTTAGCAGTGTAAGACTAGAGGGAAGGCAGCTAGTCATCACCACCCACCACCAACTCTTGAGCTACTCTTTTACCAACAAATAGTGTTACATTATAATGCCCCCATGGCTGAAAGGACGAGCATGTTTGGTGGGATGGGGATTTGAACCTGCGACCCTCAGATTGCGAGTTGAGTGCCCTAACCACCTGGCCATGCCGGGCCAAGTAATTAGGAAGATGCATAATTTCTTTTAAATAGGTATATGAATACTGGTTTGACCTGAATATTCCAAAGATACAAATAATCTTTAGTTGTACCATTATCAAAAACAAAACATTATAATAGTTATACAACAGTACATTGATTTACAGGGGCAGAAGTGGCTTTAATAATATCTTCAGTTGATGTGAAAAACGTTTGTCACTGGTTGTTTATGGATTAATTCAAATTTTCAACTGAACTCTCTTCAGTAAAACATCATTCATATCTGTTAATCGGTACTTAGTAGATGAACATATTTTTTGTTTGACAATTCATTACCTTGATCACGAAATTTTGATGGAAGACCTACATTCCATATAACTGCATGCAAAAGCTGTAGTGATTACTGTAACTTGCAATTAATTACCTACAAACAAAGATAATTCAAAAATGTTATTACAAAAAATTTTACAGGATTGAGATAACAAAAGAACAAATTAGAAATACTTACATAATGCAACTGCAACTTTAACATACATTCTTTACATACACACACACACACACAAGAACAGTCATTTTATAGTGTATATGTTCCTTTGATTTTGGTTATTTGTTCTTCCTAAGTCAGAAACACAAATTTTGTGTGATGAGAAATTAACATTTTTTGATACATTTTTTCTGCTTTGTATCTAAGGGGCTTCCCTGATTTGTTATAAGTGAACAACTTTAAAATTAAATATTTTAAAGGATTTAATAAATATGTATGTATTATTCTTGTTAAATTAGCACAAAACAAAATTAGTAAAAGAAAATTAATCAATACAAGTCATTTTAGTTATAATAAAGAAAGCCATTTAAAGTGAACATATACCGTTTGCTTTGAGCTACAAACTATCAAATATTTCATTCATTCTGAAATAAGACAACACTGCTGTACTCTACAAAACAATTAAAAAGTTCAAAACAACCAATATAGGACCCTAAACCAATCATTTTAGGGCTTTTTTAAACATCTGTTAGCCTATCATCTCAACCAAAAAAAAACTCACTCTGTGTACTTACTACTTTGTCAAGAAATTCGTCTTTCTGAAGGCTCAAGTAGTCAAAAGTTTAGACCATTTTCTTTCATATAAGTAGTGTTGGACTAGGATAAAAACTGGGATTGAACTTTATAATTATTACTGTATGTATATGTAGGCTATCTAAAACTAAAATACAGTGTGCTCTAGCCTCTGGGGTCTGTACTGCATACTGAAATATCTACTAAACACTAGTACACTACTGTGTCCACAGTCCAGTTACAGCAGGTAATTTTGCTAAATGTCAAGAAGAATTAACAATCCTCTGTATCACAACACCAGTTGGCATATGCATATCTCGCTCAATATTAACCAACAACAGCGAATCCAGGTTTTCTTGTCCAAGCATGTTCCTCAGTCTATTTTTCACAATTTACAACTTTGAAAAACTTTTGCATTTTACCTGTGTGCAAGGTAAGCAAAAAATTATTTTGTATGCTATGTACAAGTTAGAAAAGAGCTACAACACTGATTGTATCTGTGCAGGAGCTGAAAAACACACGGCAGACACTTGTTGCACGAGTCACTAGTATAAATCACTTCTTCCATTGGGCTGGGATCAACATTTGTATTCGACACCTCAACATCTGTTGGATTTTCTCACACCAAAATGCCTTTGAAATGTTGAAAAAATGCACAAAGTTCTTCACAAAGCTGGATTCTGTTCACATTTACCAAATTCATCAATGCATGCATTCTCTCTTCTGCTAATTCATGGAAAAATTTTGTGGGTCAAGATATACAATGGCTCTTAGCATATCTTCTTTTGCCTAACTGACAAGGTTGCTGTGTCCAGAATGACATCACAGACAGTTACGTGAAATCACTTGAATGGGCATTGTAAAACTTGTCGCATTTCATCTTCTGCTCATTCATGCCTTTCCTTCCTTTCTGTTCTCTAAATCATTTTTAGAGCTAATAACATGTCCAAACCATTTGTTTGTAAATACTTTGAAACTAATGTGCACACTTGGAAGATTCATGAGTACACAACAGCAACCAGTAGATTCTTAAGACTCATCCAGTTGTCTTGCAAGGTACTGGCTTTATATGCTATGTTGGGGACAAACTCTTTGGAAGTGGCAATGTGATGAAGCACATGGATTAACAGCACCAGGCATTCAGGTTCTAAGGCTCCAAACGATCCAATTATAGCTTCCAGTGCCTGATCCTTACTTGTCCATCTTGTCTCCACAACTGTTTTTAACTTATGAACATCTTGGCCATTATCCTCTGCAAGAACTTTCTACACATTCATCCATTTATTGGAATCTCTCAAGAATATTGCTGTTGCTACTACAACTCCATAACAGTTATCTGATTCTGGACAACAAGTTGTTGAGTCTGTCATTAGTGGATTAAAGCAGTGTGCATAACAGTGTATAAATAGTGAATCTGGAGCATCATTCTTGATTTGGGATTGCATGCCAAAATATTTTCCAGACATGTTAGCTGCTCCATCATAAGATTGTCCTATAATATCTTTTGGGTCCAAGCCAAGTGAAAACAGTTCTTCAGTGACAGTCTTGTATAAAACATTACCTGTGGATGATGAAACCTTACACATACTAATCAACCTTTCAGTAACTACTCCAAACATTACATATTGTAAACACATTATTTCATTTCCATATTTACCACAGTAAGCCATTTCTTTCACTACAGTTTTCTTAATAACTTTTCCAATAATCCTGATTAGCTTGTTGATGGTTGTTTCAGACAGTAAGGTGAAGAGAGATCCTTTGCCCTTAGAGTTTCCTATTTTTTTCTCCTTCAGTGTTTTACTTTGCTGTATTGAATCTTCCAGGTGACATCTAAGTAGGGGGTCATACTTGCTGATCAATAACACAAATGCTAAAACATATCCTCAATTACTGTTCTCTGAGTCCAAATCATCTGATACCAAACTCCAAGCAGATTCCACCTTTCCTTGGTATGGTATTCCTTGGTGATTAATGAAAAAAATTATATCTATTAGTCTTTCTAGCACCTGTCATCTTCTTTGCTTTTCGGATTCCCTTTCCTTATTGATCAAGTCTTCTACTGTACACTTTTGATCTGCAGTCAAAAACATATTACTGGCAGTCTCATGAGCTTTACTCTTTTCATGCCTTTCAAGATGATCAAACAAATGTCACTTATCACACATGAAACCAGAGATAAATGGACATTCTCTATCTGTTGAAAATACCATACATACATTGTAAAACATTTTTTCCAACTTAGAAGAATAAGACAGCCACTGACATGTGAGCAGATTTTCATCTGGCAATTTCCTGTTATATATTCAATGTTCATCACACTTCATAACACAAGTAGGTTTAATAGGATGTTGTTTAATAAACATTACTTTTTCAGATAATGATGCTTTTTGGTGTGGAGCAACGAATTTTGCTCGTGATTCATCCTCTGGCTCTTGATCCTTGTCTATCTCTTTTTCTTGTGATTTTCTCTTATGACACTTCTTTATGTGGCAATACCTCTTTTTCTTGCATTTCAGCACTTGGAGCAGCAAAAGCAAGATCAAATGTTCCTTCAGGTGTATTTGAAGAAGGTTTGAATGGTAACTTCATTTGCTTCGTATCCGTATCCCTACCAGCCGGCTTTAGGTTTAGTTTCCTTTTATCTCTTCTTTTCTGCTCCAGATTTTGGTTTATTCCAATCCATCATGTGGCAAGCACAATAACTAAAAATAATGTATATTTTAGTCAATATTTAGGGCTATAATAATGAACTTTAGAACAAATGATTACTGATATTCAGCAGGAGTTTTGGCCACTTTACTTTAGAAAGCTACAAAAAGCCTTTTGATATGGGATTTGAATCCATGTTCAGTAAGGACTATAAACCAGTAGATCTTACTAATACAAGCCTATTATTATGTTATCAACTCATTTTTTATATAGGCTGTGAAAATTATATTTTTAAATTAGACTTTTCAATTTAATATAGGCTTTTAATACTTTATATATAACACAAACTTATTACTTTTCAGTGTTCACCCTTGAACCTCTAGGCCTATGCCAGTTTTTATCATATGCTCTGTATAGATATATAGGCCCTGGGCTTAGGCTATATAGACCTAACCCAGGCCCTTGAATATAGCCTTATCTAGGAATGTTAATATTAAGTTTATGTATTAAAGTCTTGTACTGTTTTGCAACAAAAACTCACTAGTACATACAATGTAATGTCACATCCTCTTTCAACATTATTATTTACAATGTTATCCGCCCACTGTCTTCTTTTGAGCATGTGTAACTATGTTATTTATTAAATAAACAATTTATCATAGAAAACTCTGTTTGAGATTATGGTCTGTTTCTATCATATGCCATACATACCTTTGGCCACTGGGGCCCAGTTTATTATCATACTGCCTATTAGGCCTAAATACCAAACCTAAATGTGTAAATTATTATTAATTAAATCAAAATACAGTGAGAGATACTTTTTACTTGTACACTTCAGGCTTGTTTAGAGGATCTTATATAATATAAAAATTAAGTTTTAATTAATGCAACCATAACACTTTAGTCAGGGCATAATGATCCCATAATCCAAAATAATAGATCTACTAGTGTATATAAACTTTAAATATTGTGAATCACTCACCAGTCACCATGATAATAAGTAGATCTGTTAACAGAAACTACAACTGAAGATCAGTTTACTGTGTGATTATCCATCTCACTGTCTCTGACCTTCTGGCATTCGTTGACCGTACTTGACTTTCACGACCCAGAATTCAGGACTTACAATACTCATGTCATTGTCACTTAAAGTCATAAACAAAATAACGTTGTGCATTTACTGTTGCTATGTTGCATATCTGCACAGTCAAATGGCAAAGGCCTCTTTTAAAAATACCTAAATATGGCTAAATTTTCTTAATCTCACAGTCACTGAACTTTAGTACAGAGTAAAACCACACACTGTCAAAAGTTATTATTCACAATTGAGCATACACTACACAGAAAGTAGACCAAACAAAAAAGTTTATAATTTATTTTTTTAGAATAATGATACCGTATCATGAAATCAAAAATTTAAAAACAAAATTTATTAGATATCCAAGTTACTGAAGGCCTTTTATCCCATTTTACTAAAATATATCAGAATAATAAAATTTCCCATTTTTTGAAGGGAGCCCAGAGGGAATTCCCCCCTAGTTCCCCAGTCCAGTCTGATACTACATATAAGCAAAACAGGAAGCATGAAAATGAGTTCATGATGTGTGTGTGAAGACCATGAAATTTACATTCTGATTCCAATTGCAAGTTCTTTCTAAAATAATAATCATAAAAAAGAAAAAACTGATACAATGACCCACATGTAGTGCAATATTCATGTGTGTATGAAATAAGTACATTGAATAACATAATTTCATGAAACAAACATACCATAATTGTTTTTATATGTATGTATGTATTATTCTTTCCTCTAAAATTTAATATATATTCCATAACATCAATATATCTCACCAGATCACATGGAAAACAATAAACAGATAAGCATACAGTCACCCATGTGTTCCCGCAACCACCACCACCTAAAGATTCAACCATGATGAATAACTTTGTGACAGAAGGACACATTTAACAAAGGAAACACAAAATCTATTAATCTAAGGATGTTTATGACTGTTTATGTCTCAAGCCTGAAATCATCATAGTAAAGTCCACACATCAATCGCTTATATTTTAATTAAACAGAACTTTTACCAATTTTCAGAGAAAAGTAAAGTCTTATTTATATATAGATTTCAATCACAAAATAATACAAGACATACAATTTGCTTCAATATGCTAATGTTAATTTTATACAAACCTTACACTTAATTTAAAATTTAGCTCTAGCCCACTTGAAATATCTTTTTGCATTTCCTCTTTTATAATCATCAATCTCTTAGTGTAACAAGTTTTCTATTCATACTTTGTAACTTTTTCAATTGGATGATATTTGCAAGCCTTACAAGAACTTGATACTCTTTCAGTTCAACAAAATCTTGACCATTACATCTACATCTTGAGAGTATACTTCCAGGAAGGTTAAAACCTGTTTGACTAGTAGTTTCAAGTTTATTTTCAGGTGTGACATTTATCATTATTATTTTGTTGACAATAATTTAAACACAACTCCTCTTGAAGTATACTCCAAAGATGCACCGTCTACTATGTCTATAACCAAAATACCATGTTGAATTAATACCATCCCAATGGCAATGATATATTCTGTTATTTCTTTGCCATCACTTGTAGTCTTCATCAAATCACAGTGGCTGTGAATGCAGTATAAACTAGCATGTCACAAGACATTATTTGCATGGTTCTACTAACTCTTGGGCAATTTTCTTAAGAAACAAATTTCTTATTGAAAATAGGGCAGTTCTATTCATTCAAATTTACCTTTAACTCCTAAAGTACTCTTAACCTAGGTTTCATCAACATTCTCCCTCCTTTCTCACTTTTCTACTCCAGTCAGATCATGTTCTTGTCATCTTTCTTTTATTTAGAGTTATGAAGATATTACCTACCATTCACCTCAGTCATGATAAATTCAACTTGACTGTCTTTGACATAGATGATATCCCTTACTGCAATGTTGCTGTTTGCAGTTTAGAGAAAATTGACCCACACTTCTACATTTGAAATACTTTTCAGCTTTTCTTTACATTCTGTAAAAAAAATTACATTAGCTCTTGGCTTTATCAGAATGAACTTTCTAGGTTGATGAGATATTCTTTACAGTTGTTTGGTGAGTTAATTGTCATTTCACAAATAATACCCCCCATTATGAAGAAACTTGATGAACTCCAGATACATGGCTAATTTAAATTTCATTAAAGTAGTAGTTCTCCTTTTTCATTCTATTTAGAACATTTCTTTTCTTCAACTGTTTTGAAGAACTAATCACTTTTTAATGAAACCATGGTTTCCAAATGCATTTCTGAGCAGGATAACTAAGCAATGCATTTGTCACAAACAGATTCAGTTAGAATTAATCTTTCCCTTTTTATTGCAATCTTAAACTTGATTTATAAAAAAAATGGAATGAGAAAGTAGGCCCCAGCAGCTGGTAAGTTTTATTATCTTTCTTGACATCTATATATTTCTTATAACTGTTCATAATGCCATCTGCTCAACCATAAAATCTAGGCCTGATCATTATTTCAATCACATCATTTTTTATTAACTCATAATGAAAAACACAGTTAACAAAAACAATGGTCTGTTTTAGATAATTTTTCAATTAAATGGCTCTAACATCCATTAAGACTTTTTGTCTTATAAAGGATTAATGAAAAATAGCATTTCAACTATGATTTAGTAACTCAGCTAGCTTGATGAAATCTGATATTGAGCAAAAGATCTCATCAGCAGCAACATAAAACAAAAATACAACTGAAATTATTTTTTTACTGGATACATACAACAGGCCAGTAAAGAATAATATAATCAATTTTATCTTGATGCAGCAACTCACACATATTCTAATTATATGCCATGTTCTGCCAGCTAAGGTATTCTGCTATCTAAAACATTGAGATATTGCTCTTTACTATTTTCTTGATAGATTACACCACAAAACACTTCATAGTTTTATTTGCAAAATAATCATTTATTTTTACACAAGTGAAACATGAAAGGACTGGCATCATTTTCTGGAGATCATAACTAATTTCATTCTTCTAATAATGCATTATTATTAAGCCAGTTAAAATAATTATTTTACATTTTCATAGAAATAATTAATGTCTACCTATATAAATCATGCAATATAAGAATATGATCTGTACAATTTGTAACAGCAATGTTCACCTGAGCTTGAACTATGAAAACAGAAAATGGTGTTTAACTCAAAAGATTATATGTTCAGTTTTGGCTTTTAAAATTTTTTAAAGTTCTAAATATATTTCTTGAAAAATGTAGTTCAATGTTAGCAAAAATTATTATCTGCAAAAGAAAAATAGATAATTGAAGTGACAGTTTTTAAAAATTTTTGTGTGTAAAATATCCATGGCTTCAAACTCTTGAAACTACTTTATGAAACATTCTAAATGTTTTTAAACTTTCTTCAAATAAACTGATATAAAGTGAACCCAAACAAGTGAAATGATTATACACCTTGATGAAAGTATCACACTTTACTTGTGTTATTCAAGAAAAAAATGCAAATCCCATAGGAATGTTCCTTTAAATAAGGTTTACCCATTTTCTACTGCTCAGAAGTACCATGTCAAAACCACATTTCATCCAGTAAAACCAAATTACTCCAAAGATGAACCATTTTTTCTGATTCGTGTTAAAAATCTAAAAATCATTTCAAATACACAATACATTTTCATCTCTTGATACCACCAAAGTTCAAATTACAGATATATATATATATATATATATATATATACGTATGTCTCAAATTTGACATCACCCTTTAAATTCGATTATTTCAGAAACTCCCATGAATATATTTTTTGACATGGTAAAATACCCATTTATAGCTACTTTTATTTTACACTATACATAAAGGACTTTTTCATACAGCCTTATTACATCTTCCTGTTCTTCCTTTTATCAAGGAGATGTCAACCAAGATGTCTTCTGTAAAAGAAAAATACACATCAAAATTTGTGGTCTTTAGTTACATAATTTACAATATACTAGTTCAGCCCAAACAGAATGAAATGGCATGATATTATTATAGCAAATATATAAATAATATACAAAGTTGCACAGATAGAAAGAGAAGGAACTTTTAGTAAAAGTTTTCAAGAAAGCTCATAAAAATGAAATATTTTAGAAGGTTAGTATTGTTTGTTTGTTTGGAATTAATCACAAAGCTACACAATGAGCTTATCTGTGCTCTGTCCATCACGGGTATCGAAACCCGGTTTCTAGCACTAAGTCCACAGACATACCGCTGTGCCACTGGGGGGGCATAGGTTAGTACATTAGTCCAACATACAATAATAAATGCAGCTGTTCTTCATATGATAGAAACATTTTAACCATTTTTGAGTGGCTGTTATGGCAATTATCAAACAGTTATAATGAAATGATCTACAACGTTTATATATTTTTGTTGATTGACAATTTTTCAAACAATAGTTATATATCATTTTTTATCCTTCTTTTCTTAGGTAAGATCAGCACATTTAACTCATCTTAGAAGTTACTTTACAAAATATTATTTCACCAGGTTAGATTGAGTTGTTTTTACAATGATGAAGGATTGTCAGAATACACTGGTTGACTTTATATGGCTGATGTGTGTGTTTTTATGTTGATTGCCTCTCGTTCAGTTTCAGCTGCACTGTCTGATATAATGATGATATTATGCGTGTGTTTATATTGATTGCTTGATGTTTTACAAGGTGCCTTTCTTATTAACTAATGAAAACTTCAGTAGCTGTGTTCCTAGCAAGACAACGTCAAGAGAATGTAACAGCTGTTAGGTAAAAAAGGTATTACATCATCACAACAGCATTTAGATTGTACATGTTTTGAACATTAACAGAGTTTGTGAGATTTAGCTGTTAGACATTATGAGACAAATATCAAATAACTACTAATAGACCAGGTGTGAGAAAACAATCATAACAGATTGTCTGAAATTGTGAAATACATTTTTCAAATTCATTTAAATGATGAAAACAATGTGTGTTTTTTATCATTCATTTAAAAATAAGAAACTTTTTGTAATTAATACACTTTCAGTATTTTGAGGTTTACATAGATCATATTGTGATTAGGTCAGTGCTGATCTCTTGCATGAAAATGCAAAATTTTTGGGCAAGGATTTAAAAAATTCTTCCCTCAAAGCACTTCACTTACTAGTCATTTCTTCCTTACTACAAATCTTATACACAACGTTATTGTTACAAGGTGAAGCATTAGCATGGTTTAATTGACAAATAATGGGAAATACTTTTAAATATATAATAAAGGATATTAACATAATTTTTCTACATCAATTGTTTGCTTACTTGTCTATCACTACTGAGGACATGATTTTTATTAATGCAATATAATTGTTGCTTTTTTATTCTTTTATATATTAATAATAGTTGTAAGAATTTTTCTCCTAGAGCACTTACAATATTGAAACATCACAAAGTAAAACTAAATTCCCTAGTTTGAATTTTTTATTAGTACAATACTGATTTTAGGCAGATCAAACAATATCAACCAATTCTAGCCACACTTCATTATATACCTGCTTTTAACAATGTCACTAAAAATATTACTAATAATAATTTTAATATTATTTATGCAATATCAAAAGAAATTTTCACAGCCCGACCATAGCTAAATTTCAGTAATCAGAATAATTTAGTTTTATTACTTTATGACCTAACATGCTATAAGAGCTATATAATGAAATATCATTAAAAAAAATGGGATAACTAAAATATGAAACAAAATGCAGCAGCAGTATCATATGGTATGTTTTAACATTATTTATGTAATCAAGGTTACCACTACAAACTATTGTAATTTGGTGAAACATTAATATTACTTTGATAAATACTGTTGCATGCTTTAAATAAATGAATGCATATATAATTAAGCAAATAAATGTTTATGTATATCAATGATTTATAAACAGAATAAAGTTAAGGAAAGACACAAATAGAAATTTTTCTGACAAAATGAGAACATGCCTGCTTCATGCATTGAAATACCTCATTTACTAATTATTTCAAAATTCACTGGCCTTTTGCGTAACACAAATATAAAATTAGTGGTTAATAGAACTACAGCAGTTATCTTGTATTAAAATGTCTGTTAAGTAGAAGGTTAAATAAAATTTTAATGGTTTCAATGGTTTCAGAGGAAGTTTAACAGTTATCAAACAGTTTGTTGTGCTTAAACAACAACAGAATTTAACTTAATATTTTTGTGTTACTTGAGACCCATTATTTTTCTTATTGCAATAAAGTCCAAGATAGGAGAATATAAACAAACAACAGTGTCAAAAATGCATAATGTTTTCTTCTAAAAAAATAAGTTTATTTCCATTACAAGAGTACCACTGCTTTAGAATATACATTTTATATTATATTTTCTAATACATATTTTGTACATTAAATATTACTTGTGCCATTATAATAATTTTTTTGCTTTTAAAACAATTATTTCAGAAACATAGCTACATAATTTCCTATTTGGAAATTATTTTTGAAAACTATCCTAGCCTGTGGCAAACTTGTTCACAAGCAACCTCTGCTTTTTACAAGATAAACATCAAAAACACATTAAAATGTACATTAATTACAAGGGTATTTTCTTCCTTTTTTAGTATTTGAACATGAATCAGTGATAAACTGGCAAAATAGTGAGAGGCCTCTGGCAAACTACCAAAGAGCCTGAAGATATTTAAAATTTTAAAAGTTAACACAAACAGTATTAGATTTGTGTGATAAAACTTTGATGCAACTGATTTTTAAAGTTGAAACCAAATAAGCTTACAGAACTCAAACCAAGTCATCTTGTTATGGTATGTATTAGATTTTTCTTGGTAATTAAATAACTATATAAAACTAACAAGAAAAGGAAGGATCAGTTAAATTATTGTCCCGAGTAGTTTCTTATTAGTTTTATAGTTTAAAATTATCTTATTACTTCTCTAAACATTTTCCTTTGCATTTGCTTAAAACATAACCCTTTAAGTTAATGTTTTCATTTAATACATCCTATTAACAAAATATTTCTCAAAAATCTGTACATAAATACTTTGCTTACAAGCTTTATTTGAAACAGATCATACAGTCAGTGATAACAAAATCAAACTTATTTTTGCTTACCATGAAGCACTATTTCAGAATAGATAATAAAATTCACATTCAGATAAATATGCATAAAATGGGACACTATATATATTGCTGAACAATGAATGATAAACTGTATACAAATTCTAGGTCCAAAACGTAATAATTTGGGCCATACTCTTTTTAGATATAGATATATATATATTTTCCCCTCCTTATCACAACTACGTTTAAAAGTGTATTTACTAAGTAAACAGAACTGATTTTTTACTGAAGATGAAAATATTTAAAGTTAACAATTTCCTTACCTGAAAAAATCAGCTTGAATGTCAAAATCAGGAAGAAGTAAAACAAAAAGGGTTATGATTAAGAAGTAGGGATGAGAAGGATCATATGACACAGGAGGAAGGGAAAAAAATGGTACATACATGTGTAATTAGGACCTGATAATGTGAGAGAGTTTGAAGGTTCTCAGCATAGGAGTTGGTGTCTAAGGAGGTGTGTTGACGTTTTATTGGTGGAGAGCTTTTGCTGCATAATAATGTCATTATTCGGTAGTGCAATTCATGAGAATTTCATGGGGTTAGGTGGGAGTTGCCTAAAGGCTAGTGGCAAGCACATCTTTAAGGCAGATGCACAGGGAAGACAGATTAATTGTGTGAAGAGGTGTGAATCATCTCAGAAATATTACAGATGTAGTAACTAATGTTTTTAAGTAACTTTCCTCCACATAATTAAATTCAGTATGGATTTCATTATGTGTAGAAAAATGACTTATTTTGAATTAGAACTTAATAAATTTAAAGTTTTAATGCACAACAATGCTGGGGTTGTAAAAATAGTATACAAAAAGACAAGATGATATCAGAAAATTTTACACTTTACAAAATTGGGAACTGGGCATTTATTCAATGGGCAAGTCCACTAAAGACATGAACAGAGAACTAAACTTGCAAGAAGCATTCCCTTATAGTAGTTAGTCTGTTACTTTCTGTTATTTTACCAAATCTGTCCAAAAAAATAAAGGAATAACTGCTTGACCTCATATTATTGTTATATAGAACATCAGATGTACCTGAACACCCAAATGGTATGCCTTCAAGTCACAACAGTGTGTTAATACCAGTATCTTAAACTCAAAATCTGATCAAAAGTATCAGAGTGGGCAGAATAATGAGATTGAAATGGTGATAGCATTTCTGTAGGATATTATTTAAGAGAAAGATAGGATTTATGTAGCCAACAGAGGTAAAGGGATGCATAATAAGATTAAAAGTAGAAATAAATTTACAGTCAAAAGACAATAATATCAAACATCAGAAGGAAGGCTGGAGACATTTTATAAATCTTACCTACAGAATGGCCAAAACCAGACCAGAATCTGTCATTGTACACATGGAAAGTGACCAATATGAAACATGAGACGAAGTATAGTTAGCACAATGAAAGAAAAAGGATAAACAATATCCCAAACTATGGATAAAGATCTATTAGAACAAATTGAGAAGTTGTTAGTAACTGTACTTGCTGAGCTTCACACAGTAAACAGTTTACTACAATGATAAAAATGCTAAAATTTTCACTAGGTTTACTTACATGAAGTTTAAAAGATACTGAAACAGTGCAGTTTCTGTTCTAATTTGTATAAAAGATGAGGTAGCCAGTGAGGAGGAGGTTATTTTTATGTGTTGTGTGAGAAGTGGTTCTCCATTTATGAAATTTTTACTGTTAGGAAGTTAGGAGCTGTTGATGCTGAATGAATATTGAAAGCAGTAGCTACAGATTCTCTATTGGCTTGATAAAAAACATGATGAATTTGGTGAAGAAGAG